TAAAGACATGAATGAATTGTAATGGGATGGTGTATGGCAACCGTACCATTCTGGTTTCTGCCATGACCCGACGTTGCCGCTGCCTCCGGTCTGCTTGAGGATTTCGACAGAGCTAGAGTATAAGATCGGATCACCCCACGCCCAGGGTTTCATCACAATGTACTCTCGTCCGTTTTTAGGGTAGACTGCAAGGCGACATAGAATCAGACAATCTCGAATAGAACAGAGTCAAGCGGCTTACGGGTGGATCGTTGCTCCCAGTTAAAGTGCAATCCAAGTCCATACGCCATGCCCAACACGGTAAGAGGGTTAAAGGCTGGGCGGTAGTCTGGACTACCATACATGCGCATGAACTGGAACCCAAATTAGTGCGTTGAACGAAGGAAACAGGCAGGAACCAATCACCTTGAGTTCATTCCACACAATTCTGCCCAGAATAATCGTGATGATAGCAGCGACGGTCGTCGACTTTGACACTGTAAGATAACCGCTCACGAGACTCCATACCTCGTCCATTGTCGCGTCTGTAGTTTTGCAAACCGGGTTTCTTGATTCGAAGGAAAGAGTGTTTGGGAAGAGTGTCGAAAGTCGATCGAACCACTTGTTTCGAGTGGTACCGCGAACGGTTCTTTGGCGTCTAAGGTGGGAGTCCGCACATATAAATAGCCCGGATAGTGCGCGCGCCGTGTTTGGCACAAGTTGATGTCACCTTTAATGAAATTTGGTATGAGAATTGTCCCAACATCAGAATTGACTTTGATATAGGGATCGGTGTTGTGGGGGCAAGCTTGTGTGCTCCTAAAGTTGGCATATTGGGCTTAGTTGGGGTATTGAGAGCGCAAATGAGTTGATGGTGAACGATAATTAAGAGTAGTGGTTATTGACGTTGGCAAATACGGTGGGTAGGCCTGATAGATCGATAGACACTGAGTTACAGGTGGCTGTAATCGCATCACTGATCAGTTTTAAACGATATTCTCTTCGTCTAGTAGAGCGATGTCGTTGAAGCTCTTGCCGGATTCGAGCTGACGAAGAATATTCAAATTTGGTCAAGGTTCAACTTGCTCCTCACCACCACTGCGTTGGCCACCATGCATGACCTCAAATGTGTCTTGCACCCTATTTAAAGCCCAATGCGACTGAAAATGGTATCAATGAAGGATATAAAGAGTTTATGGTCAAGATTTGCCCTAGGAAATGGGATCTTACTCAATCGAAAGGAGTGAGTACCGAGAATCGATGCTCATTAATTCTAAGCTGTACCGTTAGATGTCAGCTATGTGTATACAGTGATGAAATGGGAATCAAATCGTCCTCTCGAGTGAGATAATCGACTGTCTATAATCGACTCAAGAGCCGCTTTGCTCCTTGGCCGCCTAATTGACCTCATAATCAATTCACCATAATCGCCAGGCCTGACGCTCCCCTAACACGTTATGGTAGATTATAGATTTGGCTTTTTTATCTTCAAGGC